TGAACTGTATTAAAGGGTTGCGGCAATAGGAAGGTTGAAAACCACTACTCTAGTGGTTCTCAAGCTTTTTCTTAGGATCCCTTTATACTCTTAAATCATTGAAGATCCCAAAGAGATTTAGTTTATGTGGAGTTGTATCTACTGATATTTACTGTATTAGTTAAAACAATTTTATAAAATTATTAATCATTTAAATGTAACAGTAATAAACTCATTCCATGTTAACATGAATTATGAATTAACCATATTTCCCAAAACAGAAGTCAAGTGATAAGAATGGCACTGTACTATTTTTTATAAAATTCTCTTCAAAGTTTGTCTTAACAGAATACTGCTGGATTCTCATCTGCTTCTACATTCTATCTGTTATATGCTGTTTTTGTTTAAGTATATGAAGAAAATAATGGCCTCATAGATTTGTAATTAGGAAAGTATTTTAATAGCCTTTTTAGATATTTGGGGTTAGTTGAAATGTGGAATCTGAAACCATAAAAGTGAATTTTTTTATACTGTTATATTAAAATCCATTGATCTTTCTTTACGTTGAATGGATCTTTTACCCATGCATGATTCGCACCCTCATGCATTGGTTATGTGTAAAAGACTGATTTACTAAGTAATATAGTTCTTCTAAGTGTTGACACATTATATATTTTAAGGTCATATTTGTGAGGAACACTGATCTTACCAGAAAAGTCTTAAGTTTGAGGAAGCTTGGAGGAGAGGCAGATGCATGTTTTTTTTGTTTTGTTTTATCCTCACCTGAGGACATTTTTCCATATTTTGTTCAGATAGAGTGGGAGGGGGAGAGAGAGAGAGAGAGAGAAACATCGATGTGAAAGGGACACATCGAGTGGCTGCCACCCACACGACCCAACCAGGGGTGGGGACAAACCACAACTGAAGCACGTGCCCCCAGGGGGAACCGAACCCTGGGTCTCTCCGGACCACAGGCCAACGCTCTACCTGCTGAGCCAAACCAGCCAGGGCGCAGATGCATGTTTTCAAAAATTCTGTCAATTGTTATTTATGAGGAAATTTCTGCCAAACACTCAGATCTGGATAACCAGTTTGTCGGTTTTCTTGCCAGAAAAAAAATTATTCCAATACAAAAACAACTAGTTCAGCTCACCACTCAGCCTCACAAGTTGTTTACTCATACTTTGGTGTGCACCAGAAGTGTTTAATGCTACACAGAATATTAAGACAAATAGTCAAATTTAATGATATTGTTACTGCTTTATCAATGACATTAAGTGAAACTTTTTTTTTTTTACTGTGGGTGGAGGGCAGTGAAAACTACTTGTACAGGTAGGTGTCCCTGCCTTAATTTGTGAAAGGTGCCAGCAGTTTTATTCACCATTTCTTTTGTGTCAGCATGGTTAAAAAGAAAAATGTCTTAATATTATGAAAATCGTTTTGACCTCCTGAAAGTGTCTTAGAGAACCCATGAGCTCTGCCCATACTTGGAGATCTGTAAGATTACGAATCCTCTAAAACAAATACTAATATAGGTGGCTAAAAACAAGATGTATTTTCAGAATCACCAGAATTTGTTTACTATTCATCCAAGTAGATTTGCCACAACTTATTATGATTACTTGAATCAGCCACAGCAGGCCGTTCTGTGGGGATGCACTGTTTGAACGTGGAACCATCAGTCTCTAAGGCATGCCTCAGAAATTACGCCAGAATCATGCATTTAGGATTGAGTTCTCTTCAACTCAGTTACATGCTGTTGCATCACTTTTGAATCTAGTAGTATAAACATTCTCTTTAGAAACAGTTGCTACTGTGGCATCATTCACAGTTGCAATTTCTTCTGTGCTGTCATCTGCCAGTGTAAATAGTATAAAACCAACCAAATATTAGAACCTTGAAGACTGGCTGCAGTAGTCTTTTGAGTTCTGCCTGCAGACTCTACTGAACTTACACCTTAGTTGTGCTATCATGCTGCTTATGTTGAAGTTAACTGCTAATACTAACTGTTGAAGTTTACATGGAGAGTTGGAGCCACTTGACATGGTGCCTAGTACAAAATTTCTCCCTGGCAACATCATAGTTCTTAGGTATATACTGAATGTATAAATACTGCCAGGATCCTCCTAAAAGGCTTTCAGGAAAAATGGCTTTTTGCAAGAATAGACTGCAAAAAAGATGGAAACATATAGCTTTGTGTGCTGGGACTTTATATTATGGGCAGCTGGTATAACATAGTAATTGCTGGAATTATGCTAAGTGTATAAAGATCAAAAGGGAAATAAAGGTGCCCATAAATAATTGAATTCTGTAGTTCTTTAAGTAAACAGTGGGATGTTGGGATGACACACTACTTTCACTTCAGTGACCATAAATGCCTGTGTGTGCCCATTACCATCTTCGAGGTCCACACAAGTCACTTAAGTTTTAATGCCTTCACTGTTAGGAAATGGGGGGAGTAAATGTTGAGAAACTTTGGCCACTGTGGGTCAGGGAGATGAACATAAAACACTGCACGGGTGGGTTATATCAATGCTATTAAACCTCAAATTTGAGATGTAAATTAAAAAATCCAGCAGGTTGGAGTCTATACCCATTGTGGGTGGCTATACCATCTATTAATGAAGTAGGCTCTCAGTCATCCAAAAAGTTACATGGGACTACCTTGAACCCCTGATCCTCTCCAAGGGTGACAGCAACATAGTCTTGAAGGAGAGCTATTAACACGCAGAGAGACCTAACCATGCATAGGAAATGCTGTTTCCCTCCTTGTAATCCAACTTTGTCGTGACCTGTTTCTCCTAAATATTTTCTGTTTCAGGACTTAAACCACCAGGGGACAATTTAACCAACTTTTTTTTTCTTTTTAGCCCAAGATAACTGTGTAACTCTGCCAAGTACATGACAGAAGAACACGGGAACAGATTTTCACCTCAAGAATACTTAAATTGGGGGAAGAAATTCAGCTTTTATTGTTAGAATTTGACAGTTTCAAACACTTGTGGTGGTGGGACAATCATCATACAAAATTCTACCTAGTAAAGTTTTAGGTGACCAGAGACTTTGTCAATTAGGTCTGCTGGTCCTGGCCCAATTCCCAGGACAGTTTGAGAGCCTGGTGCAATCTGAGTGCGTCCAGCATCTTGGATTAAACTTACAGTCAGTCCCAACATCTTCGCATGGGTCAATAATGCAATCAGAGTTTCTTCATCAGGGGCTTTGACCACCACTTTGGGCTGACCGCAGTATTCCCATTCTTTGAGCAGTTCAGGGTTTCTCCTTTGAATTTGCTTGTAGGCAGAAACAGCAGCATGAGAACACTGGGCAGCCACTTTCCCTTTCCCCATCTTTAAGTCATTTCGAACCACAAGAATCATTTTGTATTCCCCACTCTCTCCTAAGATGCTTGTTTCGGTTCCAGTCTCTGTGTCTGTCGCATTCACTGAGCTTTTGGGGATTGTACCAAAGCGTACACGGAGACCCCAGCCCAGACACATGCCACAAGCTACTCCAGCAGCCAAGCTGAGTGCACCAGGATGAGCCAAATATTCCATAACCAAGGATTTGGAGAGCATCTTCAAGGAAAAGAAAAAGGTTATTATGTAGCAGTAAAAAGTTATAGGCTTATCAGATAAAACACCTTGATAGTATATAAGCAACAATATTTAAAACTATACGAGGTCATCCAGAAAAAAGGCAAAATATATTTTGGATTTCATGCATGTACCACTTTTTCTTTTCTTTGTACCAGGAAAAATTCAAGAATACAGATGAAGCAATTTAGGTCATTTTGAATCTCAATATGGAGTATCTCTCTTGTTCTTGGATACAAAAAAGCTCTGTTCCTCAGTCTTCTCTAATTCTTGTGGAGAAAGGAAATGTTCTGTTTTACCAAGATGCCCAAAGGTAGCTAAAGAAACCAAGGATAATTTCTCCATCCCCTTTTCTGACATACATTGCTTATTTAGTTGTGTCTTCATAATGCAGTGGTTCTTAATGGGGATGGTACCAGCCCCTCAGAGAAGTTCCTGGCTGTCTATATAATGGGTCTGGGGTGAGGTACCTTGCTGACATTCACTAGACCTGAGTATGGAATACTAAAAGTCTTGCAAGTGAAGATTTGTCCCATTGGACATTATTGTAGGAGCAAAACTATTAATACGCAAGATGAACCCAATTTTATTTTACACAGGAACACAAAGTATTTTTGCATAGTTTTAATATACATTGAATTTACCAGAAGTGCATTATATAAAATAAAGGAAGATCACCCTTTATCCTTCATTATTTTAGATATTCTTGTTACCCCAGCAAAGCTGTTCATGGTATTTGCGTCACCAATAAAACATACCAGTTTACATTTGAGGCTGTTGGAGTCATATGATTCTGTAGCGTAAGTCCTGGAAATACATATTTTACCATAAATGTCCCTTTCTCATGTCAAAATTAGGAAATAGTGATATTTTTAAAAGTATATGGTAGATTATATACAGTATTATAAAATATTTTAATATGAGGCTAGTACAGGGGAAGGGATGTTAAACTTTATAAAATAAATTTACACACTATAAAATTCACAGTTTTTTGTTGTTAAGCCACACCCAAGGATATTTTTCCATTGATTTTTAGACAGAATGGAAGGGAGGGAGGAAGGGAGAAAGAGAAACATCAAGGTGAAAGAGACACACTGATTGGTTGCCTCCCGCATGGGGCTGGGGATTGAACCTGCAACCCTTCAGTCTGTGGGCCCACGCTCTAACTGCTGAGCCAAACCAGCCAAGGTTAAAATTCACACTTTCTTAAAAAAAAAAAAAAAAAATGGCCCTGGCCGGTTTGGCTCAGCGGTTGGAGCGTCGGCCTGCGGTACAGAGAGACCTGGGTTCGGTTCCCGCTAGGGGCACGTACCTCGGTTGCAGTTTGTCCCTGGCCCTGGTTGGTCGTGCGGGTGGCAGCCACTCGATGTGTCCCTTCACATCGATGTTTCTCTCTCTCTCTCTCCCGCTCTATCTGAACAAAAAAAAAAAAAAAAGGAATGCTTCACGAATTTGTGTGTCATCCTTTTGCACGGGCCATGCTAATCTCTGTAGCATTCCAATTTTAGTGTATGTGCTGCCGAAGCAAGCACTAAAATTCACACTTTTAACATGTACAATTCAGTGTTTTGTTTTCAATAGGGATCATTTTGTTTAATCCTCACCTAAGGATATGTTTTCATTGATTTTTTTTTTTTAAGAGAAGAGAAAAAGGGAGAGAGAAACATCGATCGCTTGCCTTCAGTATGTGCCCTGACTGGGGATTAAACCCGCAACCTAACTATGTGCCCTGACCTGTAATCTAACTCACAACCTTTTGGTGTATGGGAGAATCAACCCCGGCCAGGAATTTTTTAAAAATCCTCACTCAAGGATATGTTTATTGACATTCAGAGAGAGGAAGGGGGAAAGAGAAATATCGATGTGAGAGAAACATTTATCCATTGCTTCCTGTACGGGCCCTGACTGGGGATCAAACCTGCAACCTTTTGGTACACCAGATGACAGTTCTTCAGTTGCATTTAACCACATTTCAACTGAGCCACCTGGCCAGGTCAGTGGTTTTTAATATATCCACAAGATAAGCCTAGAAATACAGATTTAAGAGAACTTACATACAACTGAAGTTATCAAAGTGATGAAAGTGAATGAGGCCACTGGGAAAAGTAAATAGAGTGAAAAAGGGCTAAAACAAGAATCCCGAGGAAACAAACATTTACGGTTCAAAAGAGTGATTGACATGGAGTGGCCAGAGGTAAAAGGGTCAGATATGGTAAGTTGTCAGCACCTGGTTTTAGTTCTCAACTGGTGTACAGACATAGGACTTTATGGCTCTAGATGTCTTAGCAGCCAGAAAAGTAAATTATTACAACCCACATTGGGACTTCTCTCTCATAATCTAATGACCAGGCTCCAAAATGAACAATATCTTGACAATTACACAGATTATCTACACCAATTTCTAGGTTGCAAAGCAACTAAACATCCCATATATGAGATTCAGATATTATCTGTAGAAGGGAACTACAGGGTTGGGCAAAAAGTAAGTTTACAGTTGTGAGTATGTAAAACAGATTTGATTCTTATATTATTATTTATTAATTATTGTATTTTCTATTAAAGCAACTATAAACCGACTTTTGCCCCACCCTGTATATACAGAAGACCTATTGGATGTTGAGTAACATTCTAAACCTTTTACTTCCATTACTGTTGATATGAAAATAAAGGGAAGATATTAGTAGCCTCATTTTAAAGATAAGACAAATAAGAATCAGAGAAGCTGTTTATCCACGGTAACATAACTAATAGGAGTAGTATAAAATGTACTCAATTTCAAGGTAATGATAAAAAGCTTCTCAGCTTTATCCGAAACCAGATATATCAATGAGAGTCAACAAAAACAAAGTAGAAAAAGTTTCAGTAATGACCAAGTTTAATCTCTTCCATATTTCATGAGGTCTCTAACTCTAAAATGTTAAAATTAATACTAACATCTTTGTTCTTTTTTTTTCTTCCTCACCTGAGGACATTTTTCTATTTTTTGTTCAGGTAGAGTGGGAGGGAGAGAGGAAGAGAGAAACATCGATGTGAAAGGGACACATCGAGTGGCTGCCACCCGCACGACCAACCAGGGCCAGGGACAAACTGCAACCGAAGTACATGCCCTTAGCGGGAACCGAACCCGGGTCTCTCAGGACCGCAGGCCGACACTCTAACCGCTGAGCCAAACCGGCCAGGGCAACATCTTTGTTCTTTAGAATGTTCTAATCTTATATCAACCCAATCAGATTATTGTCTAACTCCACTAAAAGGTGTTTCAGCCTGTCCCCTTTTCTGTGTATCTATTATAAACATATCAATAAACCCAGTGCTCAAAACTAAGGTAAAAATAACTAATTTTAATCTCACAGATGACCCTGGGCAATGATGGCATTGCAAATAGACATGTCCTATAAAACCCTCCTCTTGGTGCCTTCTCTTCCTCTGCCAGACTAAACTCCTTTCACCAATGCTTTTGATCCCGTTACCTCCTGAACCATGCTCCATCCATCAATCCCACTACACTGGCTACTGCCCCTTGGCCTTTTCCAACCTAAAAACCTTTCCCATTGGACTTTAAATCCCTGCCTCATGTTTCCTCTTCTGTCATCCTCTAAACTTTTTCAGTTACCTGCCTCCCTTCCCAGTCAACTGAAATTGCTAAGGAATCAGACAGTTGCTAACTGCCAAATATAGTTGAGTTTTCTGCACTAGTCACTGATAACTATTTTTTTTTAACTTTCCTCCCTTATATTCTTTAACCCAATTATTACCCCATTACCAACCTACCTTTCTGATAGCTTTTTTCCAGTTTCCCCCTCTGGCTCTGTTTTCCCCTGATGTATATATAATACAAATTTACACATTTGGCTCTCTTTTCAGGCTATACCTACATTGTCCAATACAGTAGCCATTAGCCAAATGTAATTATTTAAATTAATCAAAACTAAATAAAAATTCGGTTCTTCAGTTGCATTTAACCACATTTCAAATGCTCAGTATCTCAACAACTTAAAAGTGGCTAGTGGACACTTTATCAGACAAAAATATATAACATTTCCATGACCAAAGAAAGTTCTATTGGACAGTGCTGATTTATATACTCTCTTTCCATTAAATCAATGTTTATTGAGGGCCAACTGTGCACCAGGCACTGCTCTGGACTCTGGAGATAGAGCACAGAACAAAACAAAGTCCCACTCTTCCTGAAACTAACATTCTAGCAAAAAGAGACAGACAATAAATAGTTTGTCAGACGGAGAATTTCACTTATTCCCAAATCATCAAATGCTGAGGACTCCGAAAACCTCTCTTGGGCTCTAACCTTGATTTTCCAGCTTCTGCTAGATTTCACCACGCAGATACCTATGAAGTACTCTAAATTGTGTCTGAAACGGAATGCAGTATCTCCCCTTCCCTCTCAAACTTCCTTTTTCTGTATTCCTGATTTCTGTGTAACCTTGGATTTTTTTCTCTTCTGTCCTACTACCAGTCTTATCTGTCTTGAACCATCTCATCTTTACTAGCAGTGCCCTAATTATCTCCTGGCCAAAAGCCTCCAAAATTCACTGCCTCTAATCTTTCCACATTTCCTTCACTCATGCCCTAGTTCATCCTAGTCCATCTGCAATTAAAATTATACTTCAAAAACACAAACCTGAGTCTGTAATCTCCCTGCTCAAAAATCACTGGATAAATGCCTCCATAAAACATAAATCCCTTTGCACGAATTTACAGCACCACACAATTTGGTTACAACCTCCTTTATCCGTCTAACCTAGTCTCCTGCTGTACTGTCCAGCCACACCAAATCACTAGGTCCCTTCAAGCAGCAATCCTTCCTTGCAATTATTTCGTTTTCTCCACCGAAACGCACAAACACAGACAAAAACATCCTCTTCACCCGTGAAGACGTCGTTAAAATGCCAGTCTCTGAAATCCTTACCATCCCCCAGTCTTGATTATTTATTCTTCAGAGATGCTGTAACATTTACACATACTGTGGATCATTGTCTCGGCATCTAGGGCAGTGCCTGGGGTATAGTATTAAGGAATTAAATGCTTCTCTAGGTATTATGTCTGAGAACCAAATCTTCGATCATATTTTTAGAAACCTTTTTCCCCTCGTGGGAACCACTTGATACGTTAGGGGGTATTCAAAAAAGACTCAGCAGAGCGCGAGGCCTGCTCGTATTGTCTCACATTCGGAGCGAGCACAACGCTGCTGCCTGAATGGGGGCTTCGTCTGGGAAATGAAAATCCTGGGTCCTTCTCGTCCCCAGCACCTTGGTCCCCTCTACCAAAGGACCACTGGCAGAACCGGGCCGGTGGCTCCGGCAGCCACTGGGCGGAAGACAACTTCAGAAAATGAAAGGGTGGGGTGGGGTTACAGAAAGAGGTGGGAAGACACATCCCGACTGGAGAGAATGGAGCGCGACACGCCTCTCCTTCGCCCCGGGAGGCCCGACCTACCTAGAGCGCCTCTCGTCGCCTCACTCGCGTCTTCGCGTTCCCCACTTCAGAGCAGCGAGCACGCCGCTACCGCACGAGGTACCTCTTCCGCGGTCCCTTGATAACAAGTTCCGGATCAAGAACTGCGAAGGGAACAGTCATCCTTCCTCTCGCCCCGCCCACAGGTCCCGAACCCAAATCCTGCGACCGTCGACCGAGGTTGCCGGAAAGAAGTGGGAACGTTTCTCTTCAGGAGGCGGTCTCCCGGGGGAACACGGACCGGAAGTGACGCGGAGAGTTCCGGTTGGACGGACCCCCTGCGGCGGGTGTGAGTGTCGGTCAGGTGCCGCTTCCAGGATCCTGAGATCCAGAGAAGCCGGGGTCAGAGCGGGTAGGTAAACGAGCGCGGGGAATTGGGGACGGGAGCCTGAGACTGTCCTCGGAGCTCGGCTTCTTCTAGAGCTCTCCCACTTAGACTGTGCACATCTGGGGCACCGTGAGTTCGACTTCAAGCAGTGTTTGCGGGTGCTGCTGACTCGGGATGTCTCCGTGAGCCGGTAGCCAGGTTGTGTGGGACGCCTCTCCATGGTTGGCCGACGGTACATGGAACCCATACACTGGATTCCCGACCTTTCGCTCTGACCGCCACTGAATTGGAAGCGGTTCTAAGCTTCCAGAGAGTACCCATCTCTTCTTCCTCCCGGGGTGTCTGGGACTTTAGAGTAAATGGAGATTTTCCCAGCTGATGACCAAGCTGTTTAGAAGTACCCGATTCTAAACAAGATTCAGACGTGTAAATGCCATCTAAAGCCCTGCTAGCCAAGAGGGTGGAGCCTTCGCTCCGTAGATCTCTTGCAGAGGACCTTCACATATCTCCCACTACTTTCATGAAGAATAGGGTGCTTTACCTTTTCCAAATCCCTTATCCCTTCGACCCCTGTTTGGCATTACAGTGGAAGGATTTGCCATAAAACGTGAAGGTCGGCTGAATCGCTAAAATTCCAAGAAGCCGTATGTGGCCCTGTACCACACTGCTAAGATTACTTATGACCTCCATTGGGTTTTACGCTATTATCTTTTATTTTCCTGCAAAATCATTAGAAAATCTCATAGTGTATAGGCTCTGGCACTGTTTATACCTATCTTGGCAACATTGCTCCTTTTCCTAACTTTAATGCCTTTCAGTTCTCCTTTGGAGCTTGTCAGATATTTTGTGAACAGACTGCACTGATCTTTGGCGAAGCTTGTGCAAGTGTTTCTAGACTAATGATAGGAAATTTGATGTTCCGACTGCTACCTATTCATTGTATTATCATTAGTTCTGATTTTAGTTGTATATTCTTAGCATAAATGAAGATAAGAAATTATTATTTACTAGGCAACATTTAATGCATTCTAGATTATGTTTTTATAGACCTTTGAAAGATAAGTGCTGGTATCCAGACAAATGTGGCCAATTTGTGTAGGTGAAATGATTGTTTGTTGTTTAATTTACATGTTGTTCTTATTTTTAATTTAGAAAAAAATTTCACACTTTTCTGAAACGAGATGACAAGGTTTTTGAGATGTGGAATTGTGTAAATTAGAGGTTATTGTTGGTTTTAATGTCTAGTAAATTTTCTTATTGACACTATAACTGCCAAACTTGATCTTACATTCTTTTTCAAAAATTGATTTCAGAGAGAGGAAGGGGGACAGAGAGAGACAGATGTTAGAGAGAAACATTGATCAGTTGCCTCCCATGTGTGCCCTGAACAGGGATAAAACCCACAACCTGGGTATGTGCCCTGACTCGGAATCGAACCCCCACCTTTCTATGTATGAGAGGATGCTCCAACCAACTGAGCCACACTGGCCAGGGTTGATCTTATATTGTTTTTGTTCAATTCATTTGTCGAGAAACTGATTATTCAAATCATCTCACTTTTCCACCTTCTTCCTGCCTTTGGTATGAATAACCACTTTTTTTTTTTTTTATTCTCACCCAAGTACATTTTTTTGTTTTTGCATTTATCTTGAGATAGAGCGGGAGGGAGAGAGGAAGGAAGAGAGAGAGAAACATTGATGTGAGAGAGACACATCTATTGGTTGCCACCCACATGACCCCAACTGGGGCTGGGAACAACCGAGGTATGTGCCCTAAGCGGGAACTGAACCCCAGACTCTCTGGTCCATGGGCTAATGCTCTAACCGTTGAGCCAAACCGACGAGGGCATGAATAATCACTTTTTAGAATTGTAAAAGATCATCAAACTTGAAATCAGAAGACCTGGCTTGAAGTCTGGGCTCCAGCATTTATTGAGTGAAGGTTGACAGGTTACCTAACTTTCTAAGCTGGAGTATATTGATAAAAGTACTGCTCACTTTATTTCATAGGATTGTCACAGTGACTGAGATAGAAAATGTGAAATAACTATATAAATGAAAATATGATGATGTCATTTTACTCTGAAATCTGGATGTGTATCAGTGTAGAATACTGTTGCTTTGCATCATTTCAAAATTTGATGTTTTATATTGTGTGCTATTTATCTGAAAATATTATCATATGTTTTTCTGAGATGATCTTTGCCCTACTTTTGAACATAGTAAAAGCTAGCCAGGAGTAGTTTGATACTGTAATCTATTGAGTTAGTCACCTTGATTAGTAAGTAGGTGACCGGAAAATGAGTGTAGCTTTGTGTTTGAGAGTCTAAGTCTGATATTTTGGTCATCATGTATTGTCACTTAAGAATTTACAAGTGCAGAGGAAACTGAGGTTTTTGGTGCTTACATATGGTTAAATACCTACTGAACACAGCATTTAGAAGTAGAAGCAACCTCTGTGAACATATGATTAAATTCTTCTCACTTAACAGGAGAAAATTGAGGCCCCAGAAACGATCAGTAATTGGCTCGCCTGAGGTCCTATGGCTTAGGTAGTGCCAGACCTGAACTGGAAATGAGATCCCAAGTGTTCTTTCTGTTCTGCTCAGGTTGTCTCCAGGCATCTTTATATGGTTTGGTAATATTTCCTGGTTTGCATGGAAATGATTTCTATTATGTAGTAAAGAGATCTGTATGTGTGTATACACCCCCACACACACCCTTCTTTAGCTGATTGAGTCTTGTAAATTCTTTGAAAATAAAAGCACTGTGCTTGGCAAGATTTGCAGTGAAATGTTATAAGGAAAGAAAATTAGTTCTATTCTTTAGAACAGTTATTCTGAGTTCATGCTTTGTTACTATCAGGTATCAAGGTGTCTTCTTTCTGGCAGGTGGAAAAGACAGGATCTTTGTAACTTATGTCTCACCAAGTGAATATTGTTGCTAATCAGTATGAGGGAGCTGTGTTAATTACTTTGCTCCTGCTAAAAGAATTTCTCTCAGCTGTTTGTAATTTCATCATCCTATTATATTAGTTATCTCTTAATCAATGGCATCATTTCTGTAATTATTTCATTCTGGGTAAATAGCCACTGTAGAAGAGTTCATTCTATGTCTTGTTGGGAACTCTTTTTGCCTCCATTGTTTTCATGCAACTATTTAGTCTCTTCCCTTTCTTGGAGATTGTCGTGCCAGGTACTAATTTTCACTGCTTTCTTGCCCACATAGTCTATGTTGGTCTCTCTCTCTCTCTTTGGTACAGAAATAAACTCCAGATTAGAGACTCCTGACTAACCTCAGAAACAAACTGAATGAATTGAAATGATAACTTGTTTGTTGTTGTATTAGTTAATAATCTGCTTTCACAGAGACTTACAAATATTTTGGAGGTAAAGTTTTAAGGAGTTTATTACTTAAAGAAACTCCTTATCTTTCTGAGAAAGCAACTTTGATTTTTTTTTTTTTTAACCCTCACCCGAGGACACTTTCCCATTTTTTGTTCAGGTAGAGTGGGAGGGAGAGAGAGGAACAGAGAGAGAGAGAGAAACATCGACGTGAAAGGAACACATCGAGTGGCTGCCACCCGCACAACCAACCAGGGCCAGGGACAAACTGCAACCGAGGTACACGCCCTTAGCGGGAACCGAACCCGGGTCTCTCAGGACCGCAGGCCAACGCTCCAACCGCTGAGCCAAACCGGCCAGGACTGAGAAAGCAACTTTGTATAGAGTGTACTGAACTGATGTTATGTCTTATGTAAACCCTTATTTATTTTTTTATTATTTTTTTTTTCCACATCTTTATTGTTGGATGTAAAATGTATTACAGATGTTCCACATTTTTCCCCCATTGACCCCCTCTTCCCCCCTCCCGCCCCCCTCCCACCTTTTCCCAAACTATTGTCCGTGTCCATTGGTTATGCATATAAGTTCTTTGGTTTATTTCTTCCCACCCCCCCAACCCCTTTCCCTTTGAGGTTTGTCAGTCTAGCAATGAATTTGTGCTTCTTAATTCCTTCACCTTTTTCATCCATTCCCCCAACCCCTTTCCCAACTGGCAACCAACAAAATGTTCTCTGTATCTATGAGAATGTTCCTGTTCTTCCTGTTCATTTTGTTTGTAGATTCCATTGTTGATAGATATGTACTCATTGCCATTTTGTTTGTTCATACATTTTATCTTTTTCTTTAAAAAGACCCTTCATCATTTCATATAATAACGGTTTGGTAGTGATGAACTCCTTTAACTTTTTCTTGTCTGGGAAATGTAAACCCTTATTTAAAGCTAATTTAAAAATATGCTTCCTGCCCTGGCTGGTTTGGCTCAGCGGTTAGAACGTAGGTCTGTGGACCAAAGAGTCATAGGTTCGACTGGTCAAGGGCACGTACCTCGGTTTCAGTTCGGTCCCTGGCTCTGGTCCAGGTCATGCGGGAGATAACCAATCGATGTGTTTCTCTCAGATCGATGTCTTCCCCCTCACCCCCCAATTCCACCCACTCTATCTGAAGATAAATGGGAAAATATCCTTGGGTGAAGATTTTTTAAAAATATATGCTTTTTGAAAGTTTTGGAAATTTGAACAGGTGATACTTTTCTGTGTTAGATAAAAGATGATACTTAAAGCTTAAGGCATTTTTAAATTAAGCAAGAGCAACCTATCAAGTAATCCTATCCTAGCTGGTGTAACTATAATTGCTGTGGAGTTTGTCAGTAGTATTCCAGAAATCCATATTTTTTAGTAGTTCTTTATGATGTTTTCTCTTGTTCTTCAGGTTCATAAATAATAACAATAACCTTGGTCTTTATAAATTTTTCTGAAAGGACTGGGCAGGTAGTGATAAGAGTCAAGGCTATGAAGCTAAATTGCCTTGGTTCAAATTCCAGCTCCACTACTGTGCAACCCTTGGGCTACTTAGTCTCTTGCTGTCTCAATTTCCTCCTTGATAAGGTAGTCAGTGCCTTTCTTGTTAGGGTTAAATTAATAGATTTAAGTAAAGCATTTAGAATAGTGCCTGCCATATCGTT